GGTAAAAGATACAGTTTTAATTCTAAGTACATTATGAAGCTATGGGAGGATTGAAAACAGGAGAGGGATGTCATCTGATTACTATTACAAAGAAAACTCACTCTACTGTATGGAGGAGAACAGACTGTTTTAGCAGGTGGTGGTTCTAAATTTCAACTGAGTAATAGCTAAGAATCATTCCTTGCTCGTTAGAAATACATCAGAATCATTGATATTTGCAACCATCCTAACATTTAATCACAGGTAACACTGAGTGTGTGGTAGTGCCCATGAGCGTTCCTCCCTATCCAACTTTCTCCTCCTTTCTGGGCACGTAGATAGTCTACACTTCCCAGTACTCTGGCACTTCGGTGGGTACATATGATGAGTTCTAGCTAATAAAGTATGAGTAGGAGTGATACGTACCACTCCCAGGCAGAAGCATTTCAGAGCCACGAGTGATTCCCACACTATTCCATGGTGACTGTGGAGGCCACATCTTGGGATGGAGGAGCCATCATTCTGATCCCTGAGTGACTATGTGGGGTATAGCGTCCCCTGACTCACCCCGAACATGAGCATGACCAAGAAACAAAAAGCTTTGTTTCACTAAGTCCTGAGATTTAGGGATTAATTTATTACTTCTGTTTAGCCTAGGCTATCCTGACTAATGTAGCTTGTCAAGCTAGTAAAATTTTCATGATAACAGCTAACGTTTATTGAGTGCTTACTTCATGCCAGACACTAGGCTAAGCATTTTATATGTAGTTCCTCATGTAAGCCCCACATCACCCCTATGAGCTGGACACTATGATTGCTTCCATTTTAGAAATAAGGAGACTGAGGCCAAGAGAGGTTAAGTGACTTGCCCAGGGCCCCCAGAGAACAAAGGGTAGAGCCAAGATCCAGTCCTGACGCTAGAGCCTCCCCTCTTCCTTCATGAGGGAGGAATAAACAGCCTCCTGACTTCAGTCATTTCTTCATGCATTTACTGGGCACTTACAGTGCTAGGCTCTGGGTAGGCAAAGAGAAACAAAACACCATTCCTGTCCTCAAGGAGACTAGTGAGGGAGAGACTATGAAGAGAAAATTATAATGTGATGAATTTACAAGCAATACAAGAGACAGAGGAACATGTTAACAGACACCACAGAAACACAATCGGCAAAATCCAGACTGTTGGGAAACCCTATGGGACAGAGAACTGGTAGAATTGCTGACAAGGTGTCTGGGGAAGTTGGGAAGGTTTCCAAGGAAAAATGGGGCATCCATGTGTGAAACAGTTCTCAGGCAGCAGGAGAGCATGCACAAACAAATTAAATTATTTTAAGCATCACCTAATGTTATCAATGCCAGAAATGGTTAATATTTGTTTTTCATCAAGACCCAGTCACTATCAAATGGAAACAGGTTCCCAGAGTTCATGGAACTTCCTTCTATAGAAATGTGTAGAAATGGACTGAGTGGAACTGGAGGTTGAACACTGGATTAGAAAATCAGGAGAGCAGGCACAAGAATCCTGGCTTTGCCCGTGACCAGCTGTGTATCTCGAAGAGGGGCTTGGAAATTTTCTGTCTCTGTTCCCTCATCTATAAAACGAGGTCCAAATTGTTCCCCAAGAACTCTTTCTGCTCCAACATTCTATTATTCTACATGGGCTTCTTCAGACATGAAATGTTAATTTGGGGATCATGTGTGAGAATCAACTGATTCAGGTCACTGTAGCATCATTGTCAGAACCGAAAAGACCTCCAGTTCAGGCATCTTAGTTACAGGAGACCCTGGAAAAGTCTCCTGGACATAGAGACCCCGTGACACAACCTCAGAGGACTTTTTCTGCTTCCCATGGGAAGCAGAAGGGAGTAACAGAGTAAGGCCATTGTGCATTGTTTTTAGCACAGTACCTGAGCTCTTGGCGACCTTCATAAGTTAAGGGAGGAGGATTTACTTACAACTTCCTTGTGAAAAGTTCTTCTAGGCTTGAAAAATCCTACCTGCTGGGCTTCCCTGGTGGCGCAGTGGTTAAGAATCCGCCTGCCAATGCAGGGGACAAGGGTTCGAGCCCTGGTCCAGGAAGATCCCACATGCCACGGAGCAACTAAGCCCGTGTGCCACAACTACTGAGCCTGCGCTCTAGAGCCCACGTGCCACAACTACTGCAGCCATGAGCCTAGAGCCCGTGCTCTGCAACAAGAGAAGCCACCGCAATGAGACGCCTGCGCACCACAATGAAGAGTAGCCCCCGCTCGCCGCAACTAGAGAAAGCCCGCGTGCAGCAATGAAGACCCAAGGCAGCCAAAAAAAAATCCTACCTGCTTTCTTTCCTTGAATATTGAGCACTGAGAAACCTGCCCCTTGGTGTCCCAGAAGGAAGTTAAATAGTTCTGACAGGATGTCTCCATGGGCCCATAATCTCTGTGCTGAGGAATGTAATGAAAAGTGTCAGAAGATCCTCTTGCCTCCCCATTCCCCACACCTTTGGAACTGCAGCAGAGACTCAGCTGCAACCACCCCCATGGTGGAGGGCGTGATTGGAGCTCTGAGGCCAAGGACCCCCCTCCCTCCCTCCCCCACCCCGCCCTACCGTGGCAGAAGGCTGGAAGCTGCACAGCCCCACCTGGGAGAGCTCTGGTATTTGGGAGGGAAGCAAGTGCAAGTGAGACCTGTGTGGAAAGGGAACGTTGCCTGCCATTCCAGTAAACAACAAATGTTGCCCACCATCAAGCCGTTAGCCGTTCTCTCCCCCCAATCCCCCCGAAAGTGCACCCTGAGGGGCATGCAGAATGGAGAAAACCTGGAAACCCTCTGTGCTTTGAATACTGGCCCTAGATAGTTAAGATGCATATCTAAGGGATAATTTCAATGAGCTCAGACTTTTGCATCTTCCCACACAAGCGTTAAAATCATTACCTTGCGATGTCTGTTTTTTGTGATTAGCAGTAATCTTTTGACGTTCAACTACATGTTTTTTTTCCAGCAAACTCCTACATATCCTGGTTCCCCCCCCATCGTCTAGTCAGAGCAGTTCCTCAGAGCTCTCTCAGAGTCTGTCTCCGGGCTACAGTCCTCAGTAAGGTCCCTGAATAAAACTTAACTCACAACTTTAGGTTGTGCGTTTTTCTTCAGTCGACACCTGTCTGGTCTCAGACTCTTTGTGTCCACAATTTCTGTCCTAGGATGTTGAAAAGAAGGTTGGTCTGGTGCAGAGAAAGGAGACAGCCCAAGTGTGGCAGACCTACAACAAGCTGAGAGATGGGGAGACTGAGGCTGCCTATCCTTCTCTTCTACTTCCCTGTGCTCTGGTTTCTTGTAGCTTTCATTTGGGGGAAGCACCACATTTAGAGGGTCTCTATCTGGAAAGCATTTTCCAGGCTGCCTCCCCCCAACATTAACTGCATCCTTCCATCCTGTCTCCTCACAAGCTTCAAGTGCTGAGGGAAGCTTCCCCCACCAGAACAGCCCACTAACATGCACCCTCATGGAATCTCCTTGCTTTCCTTCCAGCATTCTTATCAGTTTGTAATTACATATTAACTCATGTGATTATATGATCATATTGTATGATATGCCTCTCATTAGACTTAGCTCTCATAGATCCTGGATACATATTGGTTTCTTTTTAAAACTGAAAGAGAATAAATAAATGAATATGAAAAAGAAATAGAATACAAAGAAAATACACAATTCATAGGTGCAGCCCAGTGAATTACTACAAAGTGAACACACCTGAGCAACTACTGCCCAGGTCAAGAAAAAGGATGGGCCCAGCATCCCAGAAGGCACCCTCTTCCTGCCCAAAGTAACCATTCTCCTGATGCCCATAGATTAGTTTTGCCTCCTTTAAAAGTTTTAACTCTTAAGACTTCAAAAATAATTTTAAATTTACCCTTTAGCATGTACGGTTCTATGAGGCTTGATAAATGTGTATTGTGTTTATCATAACCTCAGCCAAGACACAGAACAGTTCCATCATTCCCCAAATTCCCTTGTGCCCTTTGTAGGCAACCCTTGTCCCCACCCACAGTTCTTAGAAACCATTGATCTGCTTTCTTTCCCTATATTTTTACCTATTCTAGAATTTCATATATATGGAATGAGCCAATATGTCGCTCATTCAACATAATGTTTGTGAGGCTCATCTATGATGTGTACAATAGTTCATTTTCACAGCTGTATGAATACACCACAATTTTTCTACATCATTGTATGAATATAATATAATGTATTTATCCACTGTATTGTTGACGTACATTTGGGTTGTTTCCAGTTTGGGGCTATTACAAATAATGCTGCTAGAGACATTCTTACGCATACCTTTTCATGCTCACTGCATGCATCTCCTTTATGGCTTAGTGGTCCTAAGGTCATGAAGGTGAACTCCTTAGTTTCTAGAAGTTTCATTGCACCTTTCATACTTATCTACAATTAGCCTGGAATGCATATTTATATGAGGTGTGATGTGAGGTAGGGGCTCAAGTTTCTTTTTTCTTCCTCTTACATAGATATCCAGTTGACCTAGCACCATTAATTGAAAGTAAGTCCTTACCACTCGCTCTGCGGCGCCACCTCTGAAATAAATGAACTGTCCATACACGTGTAAATTTGTTTCTGGACTCTCCATTCTGTTTTATCATCTATTTGTCTTAATCCTCCCACTTTTTCTTCTTTTTCAAGATTTTTCTCGGTTATTCTTGACTCTCAGAATTTCTACATAACTTTTAGGCTCCTTTCTGGGCTTACCCGTGCTTGGATCCCAGCTCCTGACCCGGTGCCTGGCGCACAGTAGGAACTGAATGAATAGCTGTTGTATGAATGGGGGTGACCTCGGGATATTTCAGCACGCCCACTTCCACCTCACGCTTCTATTCCGCTGCCCCCAGAGGCGCAACTGTACACTGCAAGGAGGCTGCTCCCCGGCAGAGCACGTCATTTTCCTCCCGACACGGGTGGATCCCGAGCCGGTTCTCTCCGCCCCGCCCCCGCCCCGCCCCTCCCCGCCCCGCCGGAAGGACGATCTCGCCACCTCTTGAACTTGGTGGTGGCAGCGCAGGGATGGCGGCGGGGACGGGGGCTCCGGGAGGTGGCGGCCCCGGCATGGACGCCCGGCTGGACCAGGAGACGGCCCGGTGGCTGCGATGGGACAAGGTGAAGGGCGCCGGGGGGCTGGGAGCGCCCGGAGGAGGTGCAGGACCCCCTGCGCGCTCCCCGGGCGCCGCGCCGCCTTTCCTGCGGCGAGTGCCGGTGCAGGCGCTTCCTTCCTTCCCTCCCTTCCGCCCCGCGGGGCCGCGCTGGTCCCGCCGGAAGACCGAGGAGGGGGACGCGGCGGCGGCAAGGCCTCGTCGGTGTGGCTGGTTTGTGGCACATTTGAAGTTTGTCCAGGAAAGGTTGTCCCGGGACAAAATCAGCCATCCGGCGGGTGGGGACTGCAAGTTCGGGAGCGGGGCAGCGAGCGGGGTTGGTCTGAATGCGGCGGGGCTCAGGGGTCTTGTCTAATTGAGGCGAGCGCGCGTTCCTGCCACTCAGACCGCGGGCTCGTCCGCTGCAGTCCGCAGTGCATCCGCCACCGACCCCTATTTGTTCCCGCCTGTTCCTCAAACTCCCGGGTACTTGGCAGAGCAGCATTCCCAGGCGCTGGGTTGCAAACGTGGATCGTTTCGGTTGGACCCGCTTGGCTTCAGGCGTTTTTCTCAGGTCTCAGACTTTGCTGAGAAGAAGAAGGGGGAACCCCTTGGACACAGCACCCTAGCTTTTCACTCTCTTAGGTGTTGGAGCAAACAGAGAAGCAGGGACCGAGCTCCGGACATCACTCCCTGTCTCCTTTCTAACCTGAGTCTCTCGTTTCCTACTTGTTACGTCGTGCACGCTGTTTGTATTCCCGGAAAGTTCGTCTCAGCTCTCTTCTGCTGAACTTGTTTCTCATGTCGTTACTTATGTTTCAGGTCTGAACTTAAATGTGGCTTATGTAGAGAGGGCTTCCCTGGCTTCCAAGGGTAAATTATTTCTCTCTAATACTCTCCCTAAACAGACTGTTCTTTTTCCTCATAGCTCTTAGCGATTGGCCAAAAACAAAAACATTTGCTTGTGGGTTTATTTGTTACTGGGCCCCAGCAAATCATATAGCCGGTGCTGCGCACTCATTCACGAACTTCCATGGTCCATAGTCCTGCACAGTGCATTACTGTGCACTGAAACAGTAGAGACCTGAAATATTTGAGTCAGGGAGGAAGATTACAAGCCCTTTCTGCAGGGACCAGGCCTTCCTCTTCACCCTCGGGCCCCCCACTTCACATGAAATGCCAGCACATCCTGTTTCTGATGCTACTGGCAACTCCTTGGGTGGTTTTTCTTTGTAATTCTTGTGAATTCTTTAGCGGAGGGAAAGGTCTCCATTTCTGATAACTCACTACCTGGCAGTGAGTAGAAATCTTTTGAAGCCATAGTTGGTAATGAATTAGTTTCATAAAACTTTCCCTTTGAAGAAATAAAAACCCAGTTTCCACAAAATGTTGTATCTTTGTATACAGAGAGAGTACCTCACTGGATAGAGGTGAGGGGGTGTTGTCCTTTTCATCTTTTTGCTACCACTCCTCTTGTTCTTTCCTCTCTCAGTTTTTCCTTTGGCTTGAAACAGGCACCCAGAGGGAACTTCCTGCCAGCTAAAAGCATTGCAGCCCTGTAGTCTGATTGCCCCAAGGGTGGCGGGGCACCAGCAGGTACCCTCTGAGCATTTCCACTGTGCCTCCATCCCTGTTCCTCTGGGTGCTGACAAATGTGTCACTGCCACGTATGACTCTGATCTCTGCTGACCTCTTGATTTTTTTATTCTTATCTTTCTGCCTCCTTTGGTTTCTCTCAAGCTATTAGGTCTTTTATAGATATCAAAGGCCAGTTAGGATTTTCCAAATCTACACTGTGAATGAAAGAATCACTGGATATTGGGTGTGACCTTGAAGTCTGTTTTCTCATTCACTCAGCAAAGTATTTATTGAACCTCTTTTACATTGCAGATCTGAGCCCTAACTTGTAGGCACCTAACAATCTGGTAGGTCAGACTGTGCTCTGTGGTCAGTGGCTATTGCTTTTAACCAAAAAGGTGGGCTTTTACTTGTTTCCTTTTGAATCTGGAACAATCTGAAAATGTGGGCTTAATTCCAAAAGGTAGCATTTTATTGCAGTAGCATTTCAAAGTTTAATTATGTGGCCCTGTTTTGCCTGCATGGTCATCCACTGAGGTGATTACTGTAAGATAGAATATAAAGTACTTACTCTCTGTTACCCTGAATCCTTAATTTAAAAGTTTGATATGGAATTAATGTAATTGTCATTTTTCTGCATGCTTAACATTTTATGCAACTATTGCACAAAAAAAGGGCAATTTAAAATGAACTTAAATGATTCATGTGAGTGTCTGTTTGAAGCAGTTAATGTAATATGAAAGGTACTAAGTTAATGCTTACACATACAGTTTAAGCAGGACACTTAATCTCTGAGGCTTCCCCATCTATAAAATGGGGTTTTTCTTATTTGCCTGCCTCTTAGAGTCATTGCAAGATTCAAATTTGACCAGGTATGTGAAAGTATTGTACAACTTATAAAACACTACCAAAGTAAGGTGTTGATTTAAATTATATACACTATCACTCTGGGAAAATTTGAAGACATTAGGGAAGAAAATGAACATTTGATTATTACTAGGTGCCAGATAGAAAAAGGTGTTTTACATGAATTTAATGTAAACCACTTCAAAACCACCTTGTAAGGAAGGTTATAGATTGTTCCCATTTTAGAGATGAGGAAACTGAGAATTCAAGAAGCTAAATAGTCTGCCCAACAGTATAGAGTTGGTGAGTGGTGGTGTTGCTGGGATTCCATTCTGAGTGTTAGATCCCAAAACCTGTATGTTCATTCCATTTCTCCAAAAGTGCTTACCTTTGTAGGAAAGAAAATAATACTTACATTATAAAGGAAAAACTATTTCCTTTTACTCACAATACTTCTGACACCAAATGTGTGAGTTTTTCACACCGTGCTAGTTTCCATTTCTCTGTGGACACCAACTGGGTGTCCAACAATTTAACTCAGTACAGAGTTAGCACAGACCCTCCAGCTTCAGTGCTTAGTCCCACAATATTGTCCCCACTTCAGATACCTGCAAAAGTCCCAGGTTGTCACCTCTCCTTCTGACCAACCAGTGATAAACCAGGGGTCTCGTGACCCCCTTCTTGGGTTTGGTAATTGGAGGACAGCTCACAGAACTCAGGAAGGCACTTTACTTACTATTACCAATTTTATTATGAAGGACACAACTCAAGAACAGCCAGTTGGAAGAGATTCATACGGCAAAGTATGGTGGGAAGGAGTGCAGAGCTTCAGTGCCCCTACATAGGCATGATTGATTAAATGATCAGTGATTGAACTTAATCTCCAGCACCTCCCCTTCTTGGAAGTCAGGAGGTGGGGCTGAAAGTTCCAACCATCTAATCACTTGTTTGGTTCCCAAGAGTCACATCAGTAGAATAAACTCAGGTATGGATGAAACGGGTTTGTTATGAATAACAAAAGATGTTCCTTTCATCCTAATCATTCAGGAAATTTCAAGGGTTTTATGACCTCTTTGCCAGGAACTAGGAACAAAAACTAAATAAAAACATTATATCACAATATCATGCATTATAATTTTTAAAGGACCAACTTCATATTTCAGATTTTAAAAGCATCAGAAAATTGAAAAGCCTCTACGTGTATATGTGTATATGTATGCATGTATATATGCTTTTCAAATACATACATATACATATATTATAATATATATATATTTTTTTCTCCTATAGGTTAGAGTTATCGTGAGGTTTTTCTTATATTTCTGATTTTTCATTACGTTATTCACCTGGTATGTACATTTCTGTTTTGCAGAATCCCTTAACTTTGGAGTCAGTGAAACAACTAATTGCAGAAGGTAATAAAGAAGAACTGCAAAAATGTTTTGGGGCTCGAATGGAGTTTGGGACAGCTGGCCTCCGAGGTGCTATGGGAGCAGGAATTTCTTGTATGAATGACTTGACCATCATCCAGACTACACAGGTGCCACATTTTTATATTTCTTAGTTATTCTTAACATAGTCCCAGTGCTAAAAGATAAACTGAAGCGTATTAAAACGTTTAAGAGTTTATTTGAGCAAAAATCTATTTGAATCAGGCAATTCCAAACTGGTTAGGAGCTGCTGGGGAGAAAAAATTTTTCCTTTACGCTTACAGATTCTTTGGCTGGTATTAATTAAAGTGGCATAAGACAGATTAACAGGAGAAAACAAATTTAATTACATACATATGGGAGCCTCATAAAGACAATGAGACACAAGGGCAGATTTAGCAGTTGAGGCTTCAAAGTGGAGAATGACAATAGAAGGACTTTTCAAATATATATGTATATTTATATATACAGACATATATGCAAATATGTGAGTGTATATATATGGGATTTTTTTGTTTTCTTGTTTTTTTTCTTTTTTTTGCGGTACACGGGCCTCTCACTGTTGTGGCCTCTCCCGTTGTGGAGCACAGGCTCCGGACGCGCAGGCTCAGCGGCCATGGCCCACGGGCCTAGCCGCTCCGCGGCATGTGGGATCCCCCTGGACCGGGGCGCGAACCCGTGTCCCCTGCATCGGCAGGTGGACTCTCAACTACTGCGCCACCAGGGAAGCCCTATATATGTTTTTATAGCTATATTTTTCACAGGGCAGTAGAAGAGCAGATGTTTGCTAGTTAATGTTTACCTGCCATACAGATAGCTCTTTCAGATTAAAAGTTATCTCTGATAATAGTTACCTTTCGGACTTCCCTGGTGGCGCAGTGGTTAAGAATCAGCCTGCCAATGCAGGGGACATGGGTTCAATCCCTGGCCCGGGAAGATCCCACATGCCGCAGAGCAACCAAGCCCGTGCAGCACAACTACTGAGCCTGTACTCTAGAGCCTGTGAGCCACAACTATGGAGCCTTCATGCCACAACTACTGAAGCCCGCATGCCCTAGAGCCTGCACGCCTCAACTACTGAGCCCTTGTGCTGCAACTACTGAAGCTTGTGCGCTCTAGGGCCCGTGTGCCACAACTACTGAGCCTGCATGCTGCAGCTACTGAAGCCCACGTGCCTAGAGCCTGTGCTCTGCAACAAGAGGAGCCACCACAATGAGAAGCCCGCGCACCGCAGCAAAGAGTAGCCCCTGCTCGCCACAACTAGAGAAAGCCCATGTGCAGCAACGAAGACCCAACGCAGCCAAAAATAAAAATTAACTTAAAAAAAAAAAAGTTCCCTTTCTGGGTCAGCCTCCATATCTAAATTCTTCTAGGTAGTTAAGGAAGAGGTGAAAGTTTTTCTTCAATCTGTTGGGTCTTGACTGGCCTCATTTCAAAATGATCCACATGCCAGAGTGACATGTTTTGGGGTCACATATTCTGCTCCCCCTCAGAGCGCTCCACTAACAAGAACTAGGGGAAAGACTTATAGAGAAGAGGCAGAAGCAAAGCAAGGAAATTAATAGATTGGCTACAGCTCAAGTGGGTGCCGCATTTGGGAAAGCCTTGCTGGCTGTTTGTGATTGGCTGTCCTTAAGTTGCGATTTCTTAACCTTGAGGTTTTTACAGTGTTAGGTTTTGGCTTGCTTAGTAGGCAATTAAAGTAAGGCATTAAAGCCATCTCAGTCCAATGGCCTCCTTGTTTAATTAATTTGACTCCAGGCTTCTTTTGTATTTGACAGACCTAATTTGTTTTAATCATGGATGAGTCTTGTGGGTTTGCCTAGGCACAGGGAAATCACACGTTTACTCCATAAAGTTAGGCTTGCACAGTCAGCTGAAGCGGTACCTTTTCAAACTCATGCAGCAGTTCATTCATTCGTTCATGTATTCATTCAGCAGAGCTTTATTGGGTGCCAGGCATCAGGGATATAATAATGACTGAAAGAGACATGCAGCTTTCATTCCAGTGCCAATCCACCAACTAAGCTGACCGACTCCTGTGTTCTTGTAATGTTTGTTATGGTTGTACAGATGCAAGCATCGAAAAGCTTTTCTAACTGCCAGAATAACCATGAGTTATTCGTTCTATTTAGTTTTAATTTACAGCATAGGTGGAAATTATTGCCGAGTTCCCTTGCCTTCATTTGTGAATTTGACACTGAGAGTCCAGACCCAACTTCTAGGAATAAAGATGAAGCCTTTGATGAAACAGCGGATGCCGAGTGTCGAGAGTTCTGTTTATGAGGGAAATGAAGTGGAACAGATTGTTCTGTTTCTTCAACTGCTTAGACTTGTTCAAATTGAAGGCCACTTTAATTCCAGGAAAGAAGACGTTGGGAAAATTGACTACTGGTGATTACGTGTACTTTACGTGTACCTCCCAACATAAAGGCAGAGTTGGGCATGTTCTGGCAAAACCCTAAGAAGGAACTCTTGCATAAGGGTACAGGGTTGCCATGGGAACAGACTGCTGTTAAGCAGTAGGGCTCCCTAGATCTTTTTGGAGGGAAGGCTTAGAATAAAGTGAGCCTGCGAATCCTGTTCTGGTTTATGGATAACATGGGATCATGTTGATGGATAAGGTTGCCCTCTGCTCTGGTCACTAGGGCATACAACAAATCACGCAAAACATAGTAGTCTTCAACAACAACATTTATTTTGCTCACAGATCTGTAATGTGGGTGGAGCTCAGTGGGGACAGCTCATCTCTGCTGCATTTGGCATCACGTGGGCCAGCTTGGAGCCTGGAGTCATCTGAAAACTCCGTGCTTGCTGGTCTCTGGTGCTAACTCTCGTCCTGTTGGTGCCCCCAAATTCACCTGGTTGTATTTAAGAAGTGGACGCATGTGAGTCAAGAACAACCCACTAGGAAACAGGATAGAGAGTAGAGGGAAATTTTTGTATCGTTTGCCTCATTGACAGAGGTTATAGTTTCCGTTTAGGTTACTTAACTGAGCCATTACACATCGGTGATAGAGAACCCATTGTCTTCTGAATTAGCCACTCTGTCTTTGGATCGTTCTCATTAGAGAATGGTTTCTTTATTTTGAACCAAATCCATCTTTCTGTAGCTTTTACATATTGGTCATAGTTTGACCTTTTGAAGGTATATAAAGTTTGTTTCTTATGCTCTATGATAATATTTCCATCCCTCAGTGAGTCTCTTCTCAGGAAAAAACATGCCCCCTTCCCTTAGCCATGCTCTCAGGTCCTCAGCCTCAGCAGGCCCCAGAGTTTTTTAGAGCAATTTGGAGATGGTAGGGATTTTAGACTAAGGCTGAATGTTTTTTTGCCCCCCTTGAACACTGGGGCCGCACACAGGGGTCAACCTGGGCCAGGGAGAGAGCACTGTCACTGTTGTAAGCCTTGAGAGTGTGAGCATCTGCGTACCCTCAGGGGACCCCACGAAACCAGTACACGTGTTCTTATTACCTCATATCCCTCAGCCTCAGAAGATATGCCCAATGCAACATTTTTGCACAAGAAAAACTGAAGGCTTTCTAAATTGGCATCACTCTGGCAACAAAGCTGTGAAGTATTGCCCTACCAAAAATAAGAGTTACAATTACTTTTTATAAGACTTCCTTCAATCAAAGTGAAATAAGTAGTATGAACCATCATTAAAACCCAATCAACCAGAGTTCTTTTTGTTCTGTAATAAAACCTATTTTGTCGAGTAATCTAAACCTCTTGAATTCAAAGTTCACTGTTTTCTAATCTTCTATATTTCAGACTGATGTGATGTTATTGCACCCACTAAGATGCAGGAATTGTGTGTTCCACCATTTCTAGGCAGGTGGGAATAGCCCAAACTCTGCACAATTTTAATTTGTATAATGGTGGACTGATAGAGCCTCCTTAAGACCTACCTGCTTGAAAACAATATCACAAGCAGAACAAGTTAGATCAGTTAACTGTATAAATCTTAACTGTCGAATTTCTTTTACCTACTGATGTACAGGGCAGGTGGAAATGTCTGAAACACTTCCCTGTCCTCAGACATTTTAGGCTAGTGTAAAATGAATACAGGCTTTGAAGAAAAATGACAGTAAAAATGATGCTCATAACAGCAAACACACAGTGCTTCCTTGGTGTCGGATTCTCAGCACTTGGCATGTTTTAACTCATTTAGCCCTCATACAGCCCTTTGAAGTAGGTACTATTGTTATTCCCATTTTACAGAAGAGGAAACTGAGGCACTGAGAGATTAAGGAACTTGTCATTTGCTTGTAGGTGGGGGTAGAGTACAAGCCCACAGAGTCTGTGTGCTTTTAACCCAGCACTGAACCACCTCTAACCAGACCCAGGCACAAATCTAGACTCTGCTATTCGTGTGTCTGAAACTGGGCAAGTCACCGAGCCTTTCTGAGTTCTAGCTTTTCCATCTGTAAAATGAGGCTTCTTGGCCAAGTTGATCTGGGATTAGTGATAATAAATACTAAATGTCCAACACATTACCTGATACATACAGATAGAAAATAAATACAGCTGTTATTTTCCTATTGTTCGGTATATATATAATATATATATAGTGTGTGTGTTAAAACATATAGTGTACTCTTTGAATCCATGGGGTATTTTTTAGGGATTTTGTAGATACCTGGAAAAACAATTCAGTGACCTTAAGCAAAGAGGTGTTGTGATCAGCTATGATGCTCGAGCCCATCCAGCAAGTGGAGGCAGCAGCAGAAGGTATGTAAAGATATTTCAGAAACTATTTTTTTGTAGTGTATTTTGTAGTTTTAGGTGTAATCACCATTTCAATATGTTGACTTTAAATATGTTTGTCAGCTACATTGCTTAACTATAAAACTGATGGGTAGATTCTTTTGCAACTTTTAAGAATTCTGGTTTTATGTTTGGGTTAAGAAGATAAAATTATTTAGACAATGTAGAACTTACTACCTATCTAAGGTAATTTTTTTAACTGGCAATATTATTTCTCACTTTCTTCCTTTTATGTAAATTTTTTTTCTTCCACTATTTATAAGCCTCATGAGCTCCTTCCCATTCTTAAATGCCCATTGCAGGCTGCATTCTTGTAACATTCCCGAACCAATGAGACTGTCTTATGTAGCTGTAGAAAGATGATGATGGGGATGGTGGGGATGGTGGTGGTGGTGGTGGTGGTGGTGATGGTGGTGGTGGGGGAGGAGGTGGTGGTGGGGGAGGAGCTGGTGGTGATGGTTGTGATGGTGGGGGAGGTGGTGGTGGAGGAGGTGGTGATGGTGATAGAATCATTTGAGTGCTGAATGTGAGTTAGGCACCTAGGTATTCACTCATTTAGCCCCCACCAAACCTGTAAAGTATGTACTTTTATCTCTTTGCTCTAATATCATAAAGTGAGAGAAGGCAACACAATTTAAGCATAAAGAGGCTGACACCAGGGGTTAGCAAACTGTTTCTCTAAAGGGCAAATAGTAAATATCTTATACACTGTGGGCTGCACAGTCTCTGTCACAGCCACTCAACTCTACCGTGTAGCATAAAAACAGCCATGAACAATTCATGACTGAATGGGCATGGCAATGTTCCAGTAGAACTTTATTTACAAAGTGGGCTGGAGTTTGCCAATCACTGCTCTTAATCACATTATATGACCCTCTTTTTTACTTGAACACTTCCTCTATTATGTTGAATTTTTTTAATATTTCCAGAATATAAGTATTAGTAGTTTCTTAGATTGGAAGAACATACCAATGTTTAATATTAATGAAAAGTCTCATAACTTTACAGTGCTGGATGAATTCATAGAGTCCTAATCTTTGCTTCTCAGTAGCTTCTAGTCTAAGAGAGAAACATTAATGGGAACAAATGTGTGGCTGTGAGGAAGGGAGCACGGCCAGGGCAAAATACCAGATGACGTCAGCTCCTGGGTTGAACTCAGGGTGATATAAAATATTGGGTCTTCAGCTGCAGGCTCAAAAATGTGATTTTTTGTCAATAAAGCAAGAGAGAAGCTGTATCTTTCAAGGGCTGATGCTTATGAACTATATTCACAAGAGAGTAATGTCGAATAAACCTCAGAATATCAGTTTGTCAATTTCAGTTAGTGAATTTACAGTGAGAATTACATCATAAGCATGCTTTACCAGCAGGTCAGACCCTCCGGTCAAAGCATGCACAGTGCATATATGTGGCTAACTGCCAGTTTAGCTTCTCAGATTTCTTCTCCTTAGGCTGACTGCCCTGCTTCAGGTTGACACATCTTTCATATATGTTAACATTGTCAATTAAGGTGCAGCTGTTTCTTGCTCTGGCCTTGGGGCCACATCAGTCCCTTAAAGTGACCGATGTTACTGATTCTATTTGTTTATGGTTCAAGTCTCAGAGTTTGATAGAATGGGATGGAATGGAGCTCAGGGTCGCTGTCTGTCACCTACAGCAAGCAAGATATTTAGAGGTTGTAACAATTACTAACCAGTATATAGTAAAACACTCATGATGAGGAAATGGACATTTTCTTTTTTTTTTTAAATTTACTTATTTATTTTTGGCTGCAGTGGGTCTTCGTTGCTGTGCACAGACTTTCTCTAGTTGTGGCGAGCGGGGGCTACTCTTCGTTGCGGTGTGCGGGCTTCTCATTGGCGGTGGCTTCTCTTGTTGCGGAGCACGGGCTCTAGGCACGTGGGCTTCCGTAGTTGTGGCTCACGGACTCTAGAGCACAGGCTCAGTAGTTGTGGCTCGCGGGCTCTAGAGCACAGGCTCAGTAGTTGTGGTGCACGGGCTTAGTTGCTCCGTGGCATGTGGGATCTTCCTGGACCAGGGCTCGAACCCTTGTCCCCTGCATTGGCAGGCGGATTCTTAACCACTGCGCCACCAGGGAAGCCCGACATTTTCTTAAAGAGTCGGAAACTATTGCAGTCTCAGAATTTTACCTAAGGAAATGTTGATTAGTTCTTTAATCTTACAGTTTTAAATATCTGGTGGGAAACATAAGCAATAACTGTTAAGTATATGCAAAGAACACACTGAATCTTTTTTCGTGCACATTTGTAACTTAATTCATATATATCATGTATATATCATAGGTATGTTGAGTGTCTCCTTTGCCAGATTTAAGAAAGTGCCTTTAAAGTCAGCCTGAACACATGCTACACATTTCATGAGGGTAAAAGTGACTCAATACCTTCTAGTGAATACAGTGTGGATTTAATTCAGATTTTTAGTTAAGTTGTTTTTGCTAAATTTTGTTATTTTTATGACTTTCCCGTGTGTAGAGGGTTTTTTTTAATTGTCAAAATCATTTTCGTATTACTGTTGATCCTAGGAATTTTGACGCTTGAGTTGTTAAAGATCTCTTTTTGCCCCAGCCAGCTCCCGAAATAGTGTTCCATGAAGTTAGTGCTCAAGAACTATTTGGGAGAATGATCAAATATTTTGTTTGTTTAATCCTGTAATAGTGTGGTGGTGTTCATTGGAAGTAAATTGCTCAATTATTGTGATGAAGTACTTTACTCCATGCATGAAGAAAGACCCAGTGCCATGTTCTATGTCCTGCCCTAAGTCAGGTGCTGTGGAAGTTGAGAAATATGTCAGAGTGTCAAAGATTTAAGTCCTCTTCTAAGGGCTGAATGGAGCCAAGATGTATATATGTCATATACATGTCAGATGCATATATGTGTTACACATATATCACATACACACACATGCCAATGTGCCGTATGTTTTGTAGAGGACAACATCGAATCAAATACGAGTCTTCATGGCATATACTGGATAGTGACAGCTTTAGACTCAGGTTTCTCTTGCCAAGTGACTTGGTACTGGGCCAGATAACTCTTTGTTGTGGGCACTGCCCTGTGCATTGTGGGATGATTTACAGCATCCCTGGCCTCCGTCCACTAGCGCTCTACCCTGATGACAACCAAAAATGTCTCCAGACGATTCAAATGTCCCGTGGGGGCAGCATCGGCCTCGCTGAGACCCCCTGAGAGGGAAGAGAGCTGAGAGACTCGGGTGCAGGCCTGGGTCAGCCGCTGAGTGGCTCGTGGACATGGGACAAGTCATATGTCCTTTCTTGGCTTTAGTCCCATTTCTGTAAAACAAAGGGGTGGAGTGAGATGACTCCTAATGTTCCTCCAGCCTTAATGTTCTCTGCCAGCAGAAGTAAAATAAACGTTTTCTTCGACCTGGCTGCCGTTCTCAGCCTAAAGAAATGGTTGGACCTTCATTTCCTTCTTTATTGTCACCCACGGTCCTGATGGCTCTACTTTCCTTTTCTCCCCCATCACTCTGCATTTCCAGATTCGCCCGACTTGCTGCCACTACGTTTATCAGCCAGGGGATTCCTGTGTACCTCTTTTCTGATATAACCCCAACCCCCTTTGTGGTAAGTAACTCTTTCCTCTTGTAATTTCCTGTCATGGAATCAGAGATGGGACATGGCCGAGTTTTACAGTCTTCAGTGCTCTTGGGATTCAGGTGTTTGAAAGATAGAAGGGCTCCTTGCCTTTTATCAGGAATTCTCCCTCCTCTCCAGGAATGTTCCTCCCACATCCTAGTAATATTCTCTGGTATTCAACTTTTGATTCATCCAAATTGATTTTTTTTAGTGCAATTTTTCTTTTACTTGCATTCGAAGGATATTTTAGCTAGTTAGCAAAATGTCTTTTGTTTGTTTGTCTGTCTGTTTGCTTTTTAATTTGGTTTGTATTCTTTTTTCCCAGCTATCACAATTAGGAAACTTCTTGGGTGTAAATCTGAATTCAACTCAAGCCATGTCTTATCATGAAAATTTTTGACAAGTTGGTGCACCAACTTTTTATATAAATGTTTCATTCTAAATCTTATTCATGGCCAGTATAAGAAGCATACTTGGCATGTTTTAGTAAGATTTTTATCAAATTCTTATTGTAGCAGAATCTAAAGAAAAGGACAATAGGGACTGTGACAGCTGTTGCTTTTAAGTAGATAGAACTGTTAAGAGTGGAGCCAGATGCTAAGCATAAATGTTTTTAGATACTAAACCAAAAACATGGTTTGAATGCAGTTAGTTCCATCAAGTAGAAATGAGAGTGTGTAAATAAAAAAGTAAGCTCCACTAGCTTTGTGTTTACTGTCTCTAGTGTACTGACAGGTAGGTGCAGCACCTCCTAGATTGTAAATATCCCAGTAGGCACTCAATGTCACATCCAGATGTGGTTCAAGTTTTATTGTTTGATGGAAAAATTGCAATGTGTTCAAGCATCATTGGTCTTCTGTACTATATAAGTGTTGATAGCTATTACTTTTATATCCGACATGAATTAAATGAGTGTCTCATGGTCATTTGCCCACATAGTGGAGTGATTCTCCCTTTTTCTTTGCTCCAGGAAACCTGGGGAATGTGAGATAACTCCTAGGGGGGACAAGTGACCACAGTGATTCTTGGTGGGAGGGTGGAAGCGGACAGGCAGGTAGAATCTCAGGATGCCTGTGTAGAGAAAATCTCATGTGCAGCCACAGGGCGCATAAGCCTACCCTCTCCCCATTTGGGGAAGTAGTCTTGTAAAGATGGGAGCTAAGTAGAGATGCAAGAGAGGGATAATCAGACCTGGAGTGGGAGATAAATGACAAGCTGTGAGAGCTCTCTCCATTTCTCCCACATTTTCCTCAACCTTTTCCTTAAAAGCAAATCAGGGGAAGAAGAGCAGAGGAAGCAGTTGGAGGGAATAAACTGAATCCATAAGCTGCTGTCCCAAGCAGAAGGCTTACAAGAATGTGCAGTGGAGAATCAGACCATCATATTGTTTGGAGAGTTTTCTAGCTCTACCAAGGAGAAGACAGAATAAGAAGACACCTAGGAAAATACTCACCTTTCTTATTTGAATTTTGAGCAGTGAGTTAGTTCTAAAGGTAGTCAGAGTGTACTGCTTGGATGTGGCACAAAAATATTGTATGACACAATATGATGTTTATATATGGTGTTTATTAAAAGGGAACACGGTACAATATATGATAGACCTTTTAAGTATATCTAATTTTTTATTTAAAACTGTTCTCCTTTCCTACTGTATTACAGCCCTACACAGTATCACATTTGAAACTTTGTGCTGGAATCATGATAACTGCCTCTCACAATCCAAAGCAGGATAATGGTTACAAGGTATTTTTATTTTTCTCTCCACACTTATGTCCTTCTATATGAATCCTATGCCTTTATGGTTTGGGAGCATGAGGAATGGATGAACTGTAAACCATCTGGATATGTTCCTGCATTCTCCAGGTCTACTGGGATAACGGGGCTCAGATCATCTCTCCTCATGATAAAGGGATTTCCCAGGCTATTGAAGAAAATCTAGAGCCATGGCCTCAAGCTTGGGACGATTCTGTAATCAATGGCAGTCCACTCTTTCATGACCCAAGTGCTTCCATCAATAAGGACTACTTTGAAGACCTTAAAAAGTACTGTTTTCACAGGTAAATGGATTTAGCCAAATTCTGTTTTCATTAAATTTTCTCCTTAGTTGGTGCATATTACTGTAGCTGCATCTGACTTCAGAGGCTATAGATGAGGGGCTGGCAGCTTTTCTTAGAAAGACAGATAGCGAATATTTTGTGCTTTGTGAGCCACTGTGTTACAACTACCCAACTCTGCTGTTGCAGGAAAGCAGCCATAGATCATACAGAAATGAACGCATGCAAACATAGCTGTGTTCCAAAAAATGTTATTTACAGAAGTAGGTGGCTGGCCCACAGGCCACGGCTGCTAACCTCTGTTGTAGGTTCATGTATATGTATATGTGTATATACATATATATGCATATATTTGTGTGTGTGTGCACAAGTGTATTCATAAGATACATTGCAGGCATCAGAATTATTTATGTATTTACAAAGTTGATAACGGTTAACAGATTGCTCTCCAGAAATGTTACACTAGCTGAGATTCCCACCAACAGTATATGATAATAGTATATAATCCACACATTCTTACCTATACTAAGTATTAAATTTCTCCTCTTTCCCAATTTGCTGCATGAAAGTAATACCTAACTTTATTTGCATTCTTTAATTATGAATATTTTTAATATTTATTTAACCTATATTTCTCTATGTATTTGTTCCTCTTTTGCATTTGTAAAACCTCTTTGCTTGTACAGAAAACTAGACTTCACTTATTTCAAATATTGTTTTCCCTTCTGTTGTTACCTTTGGACTTTTTCATTGAAACTTTCAATTTCTGATTCCTGGGTTTTGTGTCACTATAGATAGATTTCACTATACCAAGATTATTTTTTTAAAAAAAGCACAACTCTTGTTTTGCTTTGGCTTTCGTGTTTACATTTTGCAATGTTTAAATCTTTTGAGTTGCTGGTGATTTTTAATTTTGTATGAAGCATAAAGTAGGAAAGCAGATTAGGTTCTTTCTAAAAAGTTGCAATTGTAACAACATATTAAACTAAGAATCTCTTTTTCTTTGACTGATTGGAAATATCACCTTTAATCTAACAATTTGTAACATGATATATGAGTGCTTATTATGTATCAGATAACTGCTACAGTCCCTTCACTTGTACTAATTAATTTAACCTCATTTTAATCATCACGGTAATGCTGAGGGTAGGTTCTGGTGTATTGCCATCTTATAGATGAGAAAACTGTGACACAGAGAGGTTAAGAAAATAACCAATAGTCACACAGCTTATAAGTGGCAGAGCTCCAAGATTTAAATTTAGAGTCTGTCTCTAAATCATGTTAACCACTAAGCCTTACTGCTTCTCATATATATTTCCCGTTTCAAATTGGATCAACTTCTGGACTCTATTCTGTCCCTTTATTCTGCCTTTATATATGTAGGCCTAAACTGTTCTAATCGTGATAGCTTTATAATTCACTTTAATATCTAAGAGAGTTTTTCCAGATTTGTTCTCACTGATCTTGCATATTTATTTTTCTAGATGCATTTTATTTTCAAGGGTATGTTTGTTTTAAACTACTACTGTCTTAAGGAAGACCTTGTTCATTTATTCATTGCCAAAAGAAGTGGACAGTAACCTAAGAATCTAGCAATCAGATCATTGGAATTTGTTAACATCTTGTGCTTACCTTTCTATAACTTCTGCTGTTAATTTTTTTTCTTTCTTTTTAAGGTATGTTAATATTTTATTCATCTTCAGATTGGTTATAAATCATGCATCCTTGTCCAACACCTCCTATGGCTATGGTGTTGCTGCCCTTTCCCCTACAGATTAAGGCTTTTGTCCTTTAGGGGTGATGGGGGAGAAACATCTAGGTGGAGTTTTGTGTCCCTCCCAAGGTGGTGGATGTTCACTTCCACGCAGCCTGGATCACAAGAGATGCTTTCTTGAAGATTCTCCCCAAGCTTGGGGTCCGGAGAGAAATCTGCTGTGAATTTTGATGTACATTTTTATTCTACAGTCCCTAGATCAGGGTACTCTGCCAAACAGGATTGTTGCTTGACAAAGAAACTTTTATTTTTTATGCATCCATGTATGGGATGTTCCATCACATTGTGTTAAAAGGGACACTTTGAAACGTGTGAAGCTAGTAAAGAGTATTTACTGGCACTGCCATGGGTGGGTACTGCCACTGGGCCAGCTGTGAAAGCTGTAGCATGAAATAAAATCCAAAAGTAAGCAGATTTGTGGAAAATAACTACAGAGTAAAATTTAAAACTTGAATGTGTTGGGGGAGGGTGTATGTCTGAAAGAAAGTGAATAAGTTTTCTTTTATTAATGGAATTAGAAAGATACTCAGTTGTCTTATACCTTCTTATTACTTTGATACCTTACATTCTTAGGAATCTGGTTCCTTGATATTTTGCAGTCCTTCCAGTTTTGAGAGCCATATTTGCATATTTTATCATTCTCCATGTGTCTGATTCAAGGGCTGTGAACAGGGAGACCAAGGTGAAGTTTGTGCACACCTCCGTCCATGGCGTGGGTCACAGCTTCGTGCAGTCGGCTTTCAAGGCTTTTGACTTTGTTCCTCCCGAGGCTGTTCCCGAACAGAAGGATCCCGATCCTGAGTTCCCAACAGTGAGATACCCAAATCCTGAAGAGGGTAAAGGTGTCTTGGTAACCTGATTTTTTTTTTAATTATAAAATTTACCTTGAATATAATTCAAAACTATTACTCTTGAGTAAAATGTTTTTATGCATTTTCATTGTGCTGAACAAAAAAGTAATTTCATCATTGGAAATATTTATATTTATTAGTCATCCATTTCTTAAATTCTTTTTTTTTTTTTAATTTTATTTTTGGCTGCAGTGGGTTTTCATTGCTGCGCGAGGGGGAGGGCTTTCTCTAGTTGCGGCGAGCGGGGGCTACTCTTCATTGCGGTGCACGGGCTTCTCGTTGCGGTGGCTTCTCGTGTTGCGGAGCACAGGCTCTAGGCACATGGGCTCAGTAGTTGTGGCTCATGGGCTCTAGAGCACAGGCTCAGTAGTTGTGGCGCACGGGCTTAGTTGCTCCACGGCATGTGGGATCTTCCCAGATCAGGGCTCGAACCCGTGTCCCCTGCATTGGCAGGTGGATTCTTAACCACTGCGCCACCAGGGAAGCCCAGTCATCCATTTCTTAAAGGAACTCTCAAATCAGATGTCTTAGCATCAGGATGTGAGAGCTGAAATTGGTCACAAACTTAAAACAATACTTTACATTCAATTTAACCGATTTAATTTTAAGTTAATTTACTGTTCTTCTTAATGCCAAAAAGAAACAGTAATAAAATGGAAATTTATCACATGATTTTTATTCCTCAATTGATATTTTTCTGATATGAAGAAGTACCATTTAAATTACGGTTCCTTTTAGTCTTTTTAAAGGTTCGGGTAACAATGATATCCTGAGAGTCGGTTTATTTTGGTTTGTCTGTTAGGTTGACCACAGGAAGTACCAGTCCAGCCACATACACTATCAGATGTGGGGCAAATCCCATGGACACATGTGGGTCATGTGTTGATGCTCTCATTATCTGACCTTTGACTCAAAAAGTAATATGTGACCAGCCAAGACCAGCTCCAGAAATAAAATTCAGCCTCGGTTTGGGAAAAGACCTCTTTTAGTTCTTAAAGAACTGAACATTTTTAAAGACTGAAATGTGCTCAATTCTTTTTTCTTTTTTCTTTAAGCATTTTTTAAAAATTTATTTAATTTATCTATTTGGCTGCATTGGGTCTTCGTTGCTGCACGTGGGCTTTCTCTAGTTGTGGTGAGCAGGGGCTACTCTTGGTTGCGGTACGTGGGCTTCTCATTGCGGTGGCTTCTCTTGTTGCAGAGCACAGGCTCTAGGCACGTGGGCTTCAGTAGTTGTGGCACAAGGGCTCAGTAGTTGTGGCACGCAGGCTCAGGAGTTGTGGCTCGCGGGCTCTAGAGCACAGGCTCAGTAGTTGTGGCGCACAGGCTTAGTTGCTCCGCGGCATGCGGGATCTTCCCGGACCAGGGCTTGAACCCGTGTCCCTTGCATTGGCAGGCGGATTCTTAACCACTGCACCACCAGAGAAGCCCTGTGCTCAATTCTTGATTGGAATGATCTTTTCTCTTATTCTTTTTCAGACATTGTCTTTTGCTTTGGCTGACAAAAGCACGGCCAAAATTGTTTTAGCAAACGACCCAGATGCTGACAGACTTGCTGTGGCAGAAAAGCAAGACAGGTACAATTAATTGTGATTACCTACATAATGGAAAATATAAAAGGTGACATCTTTGGCAGTAAAATGTTTCTGGAGAGACCAGACCTATTTGGAAATATTTCCCATTTATTTTGCAAACGATCATCTCACTTAACCTCAGTCAGGTCCTTTAACATGGAGCAAGTACTGATCCGGGGGCCACACGGTCAGCAAGCACATTGCAGGGTAAACCAGCTCAGTATGTATTTGGAATTGAAATTACAATTTGTTATCTTCCCCCATGTTATCATTGCTTTTATTATAATTAATGACTCAGTGCCTAATGAGGGCAAAGTACTTTGTCGCTGGCTTTACAGTTCAGCGTTTGGTAAAAGGCTTGATGAGGAGCTGGACCTTCAAAGCAATGTTGAATTCAGGTTGAACAGACCAGAGAAGATGCCTGTGGGGCGCTGACGACGCTTAAGACAAGTGCGACTGTAGAGTTTGTATAGAGCAGTGGTAGGTAAGGGGGGAAAGTGAAAGCAGTTTTGGGTGTCAAACAGCCTATGTGATGGTTGGGAGACGATGGGGTACTGTCAAAGGGTTAGGATTTTCGATTATAACAAAACAGATTCAATTCTATATCAGGTTTTAGAAATTTAAGCTAAGGTGCTACATGCTGAAATGTGAGGTGTACTTGTAGCCACCTACAGACAGGAACATAAGCTGCAAGCCTGTTCTCTGGTGTCCTGACTGTGTGAATACTGCGCTGGATCTTAAGGAATGCTAAGCAGTCTCTCTCTCAGAATCAGCCAAGCTGAGCGGAAAATTGAGATATGCAAACTATTATACTGGGGGGGGGGGGTCTTTTTTGGTTTTTTTTAATATATTTATTTATTTATTTATGGCTGCTTTGGGTCTTCGTTGCTGTGCACGGGCCTTTCTCTAGTTGCTGAGAGCGGGGGCTACTCTTTGTTGCAGTGCGTGGTCTTCTCATTGCAGTGGCTTCTCTTGTTGTGGAGCACAGGCTCAGTAGTTGTGGTGCACAGGCTTAGTTGCTCCGCGGCATGTGGAATCTTCCCAGACCAGGGCTTGAACCCATGTCCCCTGCATTGGCAGGTGGATTCTTAACCACTGCAACACCAGGGAGGTCCTTAGGGGGCATCTTGCCAGCATGTTTCTGTTATGTTTAAAACCAAAGCCTTTGCCGAAGACTGAGATAAAAGCATTTGTGTGTCATCGCTGATGTACTTATTTTGTACGCTCTTCAAAGACAGGATGTTTGTCTAGGCGAACAGGCTGAGACACGGTAGCTGCTCGTATGTTTGTGGAGTGGCAGTCACGCTTCTGGCCTATTATTTAAACAAGAATAATAAGAACAGTCCTGCAGAGGCTACTTTGAACCTTGTTTGGCTTAATTGTTCTGTCCTTAATTGTTACTTACAATTAAGTGATCTCTCTTGAGATCACTGCTGTACATAGGTTGTTTTTTCTTACAGTGGTGAATGGAAAGTGTTTTCAGGCAACGAGTTGGGGGCCCTCTTGGGCTGGTGGCTCTTTACTTCTTGGAAAGAAAAGAACCAAGATCGCAGCGCCCTCAAAGACACATATATGTTGTCCAGCACCGTCTCCTCCAAAATCCTGCAGGCCATTGCCTTAAAGGAGGGCTTTCACTTCGAGGTAAGGTGTTTGTGAGACTTGCTCTTTTCCCTTTCTTTTGCTCTGTAGAAGGTCTAAGGCATTTCTTTCTCTCTTGGATTATCCTTTTAGGAAACATTAACTGGCTTTAAGTGGATGGGAAACCGAGCCAAACAGCTAATAGACCAGGGGAAAAATGTCTTATTTGCTTTTGAAGAAGCAATTGGTAAGAGTTGATCATGATGATCCTGGGATCAGTTAATTTATAGAATGCAAATAAATGGGCAAAGATGTGGATTTGGATTTGGGTTCAAAAGATTAACTGTGAAACAGGAACACACAGTTTGTTTTTCTTCTGTGATGCTCGGCAAATGCTGAACTGTCCTACCCCAAAGTTGGCATCGCAGATTTTTTTAGCTGAAAAGAATATCTCACAAATAACCAAGCCATTCATGTCAGGAAGTGAATCCTTTGCCCAGATAATTGTGAACAGTGATGTTCTGCACACGGCTATAGTAGCTTCAGAATCCTCCTATTTGGGGAGTTACGATACTTCCTCACTATGGTATTGATATCCAGGCCAAATATAGTTCACTCCCCCTCATAGAGTGCTCTGCAGAGATCTGTCCAGAAGAAAGGAGAAGGCATGGTTGTGGGACTTTCATCAGAGTGACTGTCACCTGAAAAAACCAGCCAGGATGATGGAAAAACACTTGTCTTAAATGATCACTATCAATGAGCAAAAAAGGAGAGCTAGCAATAGAAACGTGAAATGCAAATGTTTGGGCTGGGGATGTTTTAGCTCTTTGTTTAATAAAAGTTATTGTACATCATGCTTGTTATATAATACATACTCTTCTAGTTCATACATTCCCTGCAACATAGACACAGGCTCATCATTGAACTAATTCATTGAATGAAGTGTAAGAGCTCAGCTTTTGCTCTTATGCTCTCAGAACTGCAATCCTGGCCTGACTATAGCTTTTCATTTAAAAAAAAATATTTTCTTGTATTTGTTTATCAAATATTTATTGCATATCAGTTGCACAGTGACTCTGAAAGAAATGGATGACACTGACCTTAGCCTACAGCAGTTTATATAGATCTAGTTAGAAACCACACAAAAGAGTATAGGCTAGGTGTCAAGATGAATCATATAACTGGGGATTCGGAGAAGACAGAATAAGCATTGACTAGAACAATTGGAAGCAGTTTTGTGTGAGCTAGAGGGATTTGGTCTACACCTGGAAAATGAGTACAATTTGTCTAGGAGGGAGACTCTCCTTACAGGTTATTCAACAAATACTTTCTCTTTTTTTCTTTTCTTTTTTTGAAATTAAAGCATAGTTGAATTACAATATTATATTAATTTCATGTGTACAACACAGTGATTCAATGTTTCTATAGATTATACTCCAGTTATAGTTATTATAAAGTATCGGCTACACTCCCTGCGTTGTCCAATACATCCTTGTATCTTGGTTATTTTATATATAGTAGTTTGTACCTCAGCAAATACTTCTTGAAGGCCTGCTATGTGCTAGGCGCTGGCCTAGATTCTTAAATGTAATGGTGATGAATGAGAAGCATTTACATACTGACAACCTCTTATGCAGTAGACCGGGAGCATATAGATGTGTGCACGCACAGTGTGTAAAGGGACCTACTCCTCAGGGTGTGTGTATAACACGTGTTTCTGCAGGATATATGTGCTGCCCTTTCGTTCTGGACAAAGATGGAGTCAGTGCCGCCGTCATAAGTGCAGAGTTGGCCAGCTTTCTCGCAACCAAGAATTTGTCTTTGTCTCAGCAGCTAAAGGCCATCTATGTTGAGTAAGTTTCTATTGACTTTTAAATTGAAGTAATGTTTTTTTCATTTCAGTTGTGCAACACAATGATTCAATGTATATCTATATTGTGAAATGATCGCAACAAATACAGTTTACATGTTATCCCCACATGTAGTAATATTTTTTAATGTTTTACTCCGTTCTTATGCATGAGATACTAATATTCTTTCTGATGTCCTTTGGCTATGAATTCTATTGCCTATAAAAACTAAATAAGGGATCACCTTTTCCTTTTGATATTTAACTACTTAATAGTAATTACCATTCATGATGACATTGATTCTTAACAATGAGAACATTAGTTGCAGAAATGGCTAAGGGAAGAATGTGATTTTTAAGTGTCCAATGTCAAAAAAGACACATGTGTTCACAAAACATGTTTAGTCTTTAAAGCAATTATTCACCAGTGTCTTTGTAGTGCAAAAGCAGGCAGACACAATACATAAGGTAATGGGCATGACATGGCTACATTCCAATAGAGAAACTTTTACTTAGAAATACAGGCTGAGGGCCACAGAGCAGTTCAGCGATCCCTGGGGTAGATTGTTGGACCTCTTTTATAAAATTGGACCTCTTTTTTTTTTTTTTTTTTTTTTTTTTTTGGCGGGGGGTACGTGGACCTCTCACTGTTGTGGCCTCTCCCGTTGCAGAGCACAGGCTCCAGACGCGCAGGCTCAGTGGCCATGGCTCACGGGCCCAGCCGCTCAGCGGCATGTGGGATCCTCCCAGACCGGGGCACGAACCCGTGTCCCCTGCATCGGCAGGCGGACTCTCAACCACTGCGCCACCAGGGAAGCCCTGAACCTCTTTTTTAATGCTGAATTATTCCTTTGAAATTAGTCGCGGTTGTTTTAGAATATACTGGTTGATACATGTTCAGTGTACACTGTGCAGAATTATTTGTTCCTCATTTTGCATGTAATTGTGTTTGTATTGATAGGTATGGCTACCATATCACCAAAGCTTCGTATTTTATCTGCCACGATCAAGGCACTATTAAAAAATTATTTGAAAACCTTAGAAACTACGATGGGAAGAATAATTATCCAAAAACTTGTGGCAAATTTGAAATTTCTGGTATTAGGGACCTTACAACTGGCTATGATGATAGCCAACCTGATAAAAAAGCTGTAAGTAATGTCTTTTATCAATTAAGCTCGTTTCTATTTACTTTTTGACTATACTTTGAATAGCTCAACTTAATCATATAATTAATTGAAGCTGATTTTAGGCATTATTATAAATAAGCTATCAAAATATACAGATAGTTAAAAATCATGAGCTGAAACTGAAGGGGTTCTCGCTAGTCATCTAAGCCAATGCTGTCATTTAATACAGCAGGAAATCGATACAGTCGTCCCTCATCATCTGAGGGTTTCACACCCGCGGGTACCGAGGGTCGATTGTACTACACTATTTAATGGACTTGAGCGTCCATGAATTTTGGTATCTGTGGATACCAAATTTTGGCTCATGGAACCAAACCTCCACGGGTACCGAGGGACGGCTGTACTCAGAAGTGTAAGACCTGCCTGTGGTCACGCAGCTAATTGGTGATGCTAGGGGTAGGACCTGGGCCTTCTGATTCCAAACGCAGCTTTTCCTCTCTTTCAGCAGTTGAACTTGAAAAAGCATCAGAATCACCTGGTGGCCAGGTTAAAACACTGAGTCCTGCAGCCCACCCCTTATTTGCCTTTCTCATAAGTTCCCTGCTGATGCTAATGCTACTGGTCCAACTTTGAGAACCACTGCTTGCTTCCTCCTTAGTTTTACCCTGTTCTCTGAATATATAGGAGTTGTTAGCTGTAAAGCATGAGTTTGCACTCTTGCTACCATGTAGATTCCCCCACTGGAGTCAAAAGAAGGCTCAAATGTGGCAGAAGAGTATTGCTAACTATGGCAGGGGGGTAGAGGAAGGACAGCAAGAATATCCTTATGAGATACTGGACATTTGCCTTTTTTTTTTTTTTTTGAATTTTATTTATTTTTTTATACAGCAGGTTCTTATTAGTTATACCTTTTATACATATTAGTGTATATATTTCAATCCCAGTCTCCTAATTCATCACATGGACATTTGCTTTGATATTCACCTTGTTATATTTTTTAATTTACATCTGCACACAATATGTTTTTAAAGGCAAATAGCATTAAAAGGGTTATGATTAAACATGGCAGTTCCAACTCCTGCCATCTCATTTCCATGTGCCAAGACAACCACCTTCCCTCTTAGTTGTTTCTCCTGGTATTTACCACCAGATTTCTAAACAGTGTGCTCATGTGGTGACACTATGACTTATCAGTGTTAGACTTTATTAATTTTCTATTATGGAGATAGGGATTTAGTTCTTACACTTCCAGCATTCACGACTCTTCTCCCCTGTCCTTACAGTACATTTATACCACAACTCTTGGTGACATCAGATTCCATGCTTGTATTATTATGACTGGTAACTATTGTTTTTTGCTTAGTTAAGTAGTATACTATGATTAGGCTCCCCTTAATTTGTATAAAGAATTACTTTTCCTTTAATTGATAGCTGCTTTGTTCTTTCATTTGCATGGATTTCTATGTAACCCTCACCAGTTCTTCCCACATCCTTCAAATACCTCTCAGTAGGGCTTTTGACCTGGACTGTTGGTTCCATCTTGTTTCCAATGGCCTCCCTCCTGGTCCCTTCCTCTGGGGAGAGCCTTCTGCTCTCTGGGTTGAACGCCCAACTGTCATCCTGGGAATGCCCTTTCACCACTCTCTGGGGGTGGGTCCCTTGCTCCTGGACCCCATGAGTTCCTCTTTTTATATTTATCTTCCTAAATCACATCCTCTAGTAGCTTCCTAAGAAGAAATGAATGACAGGTAAATTTTTGGAGGTGTTTAGGTCTGAAAATGTCTTACTCTACCCTCATGCTTTATTGACTCACAGTTTGGAAAGCATTGCTCTGTATTTGTAAAGCCGTTGAGCATCCATCATTCATTCACTCAGGAAATAGTTGGGACCTGCTGTGTGCTGCATTCAGGGATGAGAACACCATACTCATTCAGTCCTTCCCGTGCCATTTGTTTTTTTCTCCATGGGAAGACGTTAGGAACTTTCCGCTAAACTTGGGGTTCTAAAATTTCAGTGATATGCTTTTAGTATGGGTCTCTTTTCATTCATTTTTCTGGATACTTGGTTGGTCTTTGTTGATCTACGGAGTCATTTCTTTCAGTTCTGAGAAATTCTCTTGATTTTTGTCAAAGAAGGACGCTGGATGGTTGTTTTTCAAGTAACCTCTTCCCTTGCATTTTCTGTTCTCACCTTCTTGACAAGTCCTTCTTGACAGGTTCTTAGATGCTGACTCTCCTGGAGTGATGTTCTACTTTCCGTGTTTCTTTTTTCCCACTGTCCATCTATATCCTTCTTTCCTGCTTTTGGGGAGATTACCTCAACATTAACTTTCAATGCTTCTTTGAACATTTCAGCTCTTTTTCTCTAATTTATTGAAAGTAACATCTTATTCTTGTTTCATGTGTATTATATCTTACCTCTCTTAAGGATATTAATTATAGCTTTTTTAAAATGTAGATCTTGTTTCCTCTGTATTGTCTTTATTTCCCTCAAGGTCTCCTGGGGACGCCTCACTCTCACCCTAGTCTCCTGCCTGAGGGTAATAAACTGGGATGCTGAGGCCCCAGAAGTGGTAGAAAGGTGCTGCGGACCTGGGAGGAGGGGTTTGAGCATTCAGTGTGCAGACTCTGACTTACTCTAAGTTTTCTCCATGCCCTGCCCTCCATGGTGCCCAGCGTCCCCAGCTTCTGAGCCCTTCTGGTTCAATTACACCAGAGATTTAAACCATCTCCTGATGAGGTGGTTGGTTGACCACGTGGGCAGAAGGTGGGGATTTGGGAGGATCTAATAGCTTCTTTGTCTCACGCCTGCCCTTTGCTGTACCAGGTGCCCTAGGTAGTGAGCTTTACCAGGGCCCTGCAGAACATGCTGACTCGGTTCTTATCTGCCTGCTACAGGGGCTCCGAGGACATTCTTCTGTGTTCCATCAGGTCGCCTCTGCCCCTCCACCTGGTTTCTGACTGCCACGATTAGTTGGCAACCCCCTCAACTGCTGCTGCCTCTTTGCCCTTGTGTGTTTTTTGATTTTAATGCTTCAGTCATTTTAGTGGAGTTTGGAGAGCAATCAGCTAAGAATGCATCTATCAGAAGCCCTTGAAAGTGAAATAAGCCTAGTGTGTTGTGGGGTTTTGGTAATGCATTATTAATCGGTTTAAAGCAATTTCTTGTGAAAATGATGTGTTTCAATTTTAGTAAAACTTCAGTAGCTTTAATAGAACCATGGAGGTAAAAAGTAATATACAAAGTTAATTTTCACAAATTGCCTTATTATTATTATTTATTTCATTTATACAGAGTACATTTTCTGATTTCCTCAAAAATGTTCTTTTCTTCTTTGTTTTGCATTTACTTTCTTGCTTATTCAGGGGAAAATGTTAGTTAGGTAAGAACAGCTGATGTTACTACTTAAATTTATAACGTGTAAATTAATTCCTAGGTTCTCCCTACTAGTAAAAGCAGTCAAATGATCACCTTTACCTTTGCTAATGGAGGTGTGGCCACCATTCGGACCAGTGGGACAGAGCCCAAAATCAAGTACTATTCGGAACTGTGCGCCCCCCCTGGAAATAGGTATGCTATGGATGGCAGCTGCTGTGATTTTTATTCCCTAAACTTCCTAAATTCTATTCAGACGCTAAGTAAAATATTTTATCTTTCCAACATGTAGTTTAATTAGGAATGTTGTTTCAGAACCTGCAGCACTATTGTGACATTAACAGCCCCTTGAAGCGTCTAGGGACAAGAGTGCTTACTTCCTACTTGGTTATTTCCTTCTACCCCAAATTTCCCTGTATGGGAAAATTTCATTCCTAATTTCAGTAATAATAATTAAATTTCCTTTTTCTAGTACTTTATATTTGAGGCTGACACCAATGACTTTTTCTCTTTTTCTCCGTGTCTCTGATACAATAAATTAAAATGCATTACACGTCCATTCAACAAATATCTTTGAGCACCTATTGTGTGTAAGTCACGCTGGGTCTTGGGGCAGATGAAGAGCCACAGCAGAAAGAGTCCTTACCACCAAAGAGCCGATGGTCTGGTAGCTTCAGGGTCATGCTTTGTGACCTTGGTAAAGGGTTTGAGTTGGTCACTTTCCAACACCTGTAACATTTTGAACTTTATCAGCCGTGGTACATGTAGCTAGCACGTGTAAATGTCATATTACACACCTATTTAACAGTCACTTAGCTATCATTTCTCTATTCCGAATACAGTTCAAAATCAGGAAATTTGGGACTTCCCTGGTGGCACAGTGGTTAACAATCCTCCTGCCAATGCAGGGGACAGGAGTTCGAGCCCTGGTCAGGAAGGATCCCACATGCTGCGGAGCAACTAAGCCCGTGCGGAGCAACTAAGCCTGTGCGCCACAACTACTGAGCCTGCACTCTAGAGCCCGCAAGCCACAACTACTAGCCCACGTGCCACAACTACTGAAGCCCGCGTGCCTAGAGCCCATGCTCCACAACAAGAGAAGCCACCTCAATGAGAAGCCCGCGTACCGCAACGAAGAGTAGCCCCCACTTGCCACAACTAGAGAAAGCCCGTGGGCAGCAACGAAGACCCAGCGCAGCCAGAAAATAAAAATAATTTTTTAAAAATCAGGAAATTTTTTTAAAAAGTGAATTAAGTCAGTGCTGTCCAACAGGAATAAAATGTGAGCCACATATGCAACTTGAAATTTTCTCCTAGACACAATTTTAAATAGTGAAAAGAAACAGATAATATATTTATTTAACTAAGTATTTTAAGTATTAACGTTGCAACATGTAATCACTATAAAACTTATTAATGAGATATTTAAGATTTTTTTTCACACTAAGTCTTCAAAATCCATACAATATTTTACACTTACCACACATCTCAAATTCAAATGCTATATTTTTTTGGAAATACTTAAAATGTTTTGGTTTTTTTTTAAATATTTATTTATTTATTTATTTGGCTGTGCCGAGTCTTAGTTGCGGCTTGCAAGATCTTCATTGCGGCATGCAGGATCTTTTGTTGCGGCATGTGGGTTCTAGTTCCCCAACCAGGGATCAAACCCAGGCCCCTTGCATTGGGAGCACGGAGTCTTAGCCACTGGACCACCAGGGAGGTCCTCTTAATCTATATTTAGAGTTCCTAAAATTTACAGTTGAAAAAGCAGATTTTGACACCCAAGTTGTTGGAAACATACTTAAGTTTTCCAATAACTGAATCAAGTGCTAGTTTTCAAATTTGAATTTCAGTTAATTAACTTAAATGAAAAATTCAGTTCCTCTGTTGAACTAACCGCATTTCAGTTGCACCGTAGCCACGTGCGGCTAGTGGCTACTGTAGTAGACGACACAGGCCTAGGTAGTAATGGCACATATGCTCCAAAGCTTTGTCCATAGCGTTTTTCTGGCTTGTGAACCAAATTTACAACCAAATTTACATTATGAAATAAGAGCAGAGGAAATTTTCTGAGCATCTTAAATCAGTGAGCTAACAGCAGATTAGAGGGGCAGGGAAGATTTGTTACAGTTGGACTTCCCTTAGGCATGAAGAAGTGAGGGCTGATAGCAATGCAAGAAATATTAAAACAAAACAAAACTATAAAACATGGATACAAGAACTCAGAATAGTCACCTATTGGGGACTTTATCATAAAGGAAATAGCAAGCCACACCCAAATCAGCCCTGAATCTTCTTCTGAATAATTCTCATTCTCACTTAGTGTTTTCATATTTCTGTATCTCATTCTTTTGAAAACAAAAGGACATAAATCCGATTTAAAGATCTATTTTCTCTCTATATGTTTTTCCTTTTCATTATCCTGTGAAAATATGTGTAATTTTTTTTTTTTTTTTTTTGCAATACGCGGGCCTCTCACTGTTGTGGCCTCTCCCGTTGCGGAGCACAGGCTCCGGACACGCAGGCTCAACGGCCATGGCTCACAGGCCCAGCCGCTCCGTGGCATGTGGGATCTTCCCGGACCGGGGCACGAACCCGTGTCCCCTGCATCGGCAGGCGGACTCTCAACCACTGTGCCACCAGGGAAACCCAATATGTGTAATATTTTAGAAAACTTTCTTTTATAATAACAATACAACTTACTGTTTAAGGATCTGTGGTATTTACATTTTTCACATGCCTTATTGAGTGGACTTAAATTCAAATATTAGTTTCTAAATTGCTGAAAATACTTTGAAAATTTGTCCTTTTATTATAGTCATTGAAATGTTGCTCCCATTTATTAAATGAAACATTAGGCACTAGGTCAGCCCATAGATATGCTGTCAGGGCTCAAGCAAGGCATGAGCACAGCTAACACACAACAGCAATAAAGCCATGGCTAAGGTTTCCTTACTTTCTGTTAACGTTAAATATTATTAATATATTTTATATCATGAATTTCATTCATTCATGGAATTCTGTAATCCACTAACCCTTTTGAATAGAAAATCTTTTTCAAATATAAGTCCTGCTTTTAAAAAATATTTTTGTTGGGGTTGATGTCTGTAGTTGTTGTTTTTTGTTTGTTTTTTGTTTTGGGGGTTTTTTTTGGCTGTGTCGCACAGCTTGTGGGATCTTAGTTCCCTAACCAGGGATCAAACTTGCGCCCTCGGCCGTGAAAGCACAGAGTCCTAACCACTGGACTGCCAGGGAATTCCCTTGATGTCTTTAGTTTTGTTCAACTTTTTGTGAAAATTTTCAAACCTACAGAAATGTAGAAATAATGTAGTGAATACCCACATACTCCTCACATAGACTAGGGGTTGACAAACTTTTTCTGTAAAGAGCCAAATAGTAACGATTTTAGGGATTACAGACCATACAGCCCTTGTTATAACCACTCAGCTCTGCTGTTGTAGCCGGAAAGCTGCCACAGACTTAAAAGAATAGGTGTGGCTGTGCTCCAACAAAACATTATTTACACAAACAGGCTGCAAGCCATAGTTTGCCTACCCTAACCTAGTTTCAGCAATTGCTAACATTTTGCAATATGTGCTCTCACTCACCATACATATCAATATTATATATTTGGGTTGGTTTATTTGCTTTCTCAGCCATTTGAAAATAAGTCGCAGACTTCAGTACTCAACTCCTAAGAACAAGGACACTCTCTTACTATCTCAAGATTTAGGTAATAGTCTCAAGCAGGGTTCTAACAGAGAAACAAAACCAGCAGGGGATATATAGTAAATTCATTGATGAGTTTTGTTTTATGTATATTGTTTTAAGAAAACCAATAAGGGCTTCCCTGGTGGCATAGTGGTTAAGAATCTGCCTGCCAATGCAGGGGACATGGGTTCGAGCCCTGGTCCAGGAAGATCCCACATGCTGCAGAGCAACTAAGCCCATGTGCCACAACTACTGAGCCTGCGCTCTAGAGCCCACGAGCCACAACTACTGAAGCCCGCACGCCTAGAGCCCGTGCTCCGCAACAAGAGAAGCCACCGCAATGAAAGGCCCGTGCATCGCAATGAAGAGTAGCCTCCTCTCGCCACAACTAGAGAAAGCCCGCATGCAGCAGCAAAGACCCAACTCAGCCAAAAAGAAAGAAAGAAATTTATATTAAAAAAAACAACAGTAATTATTAGTCAGTGTGCCTTCCTGAGAACTCTTATTTTCTTCAAAGCATATTTGTGGAGAAGGAAAAGAAAAGACTTGTGTAATTCATATATATTTATGAAGCATAATTACTATATATGTTACCAATGGGGGGGTAAAAGTAATTATAATGATAGCTACATTTATTGAGGTTTTTGGGCCAGGTTCTGTGCTAATTGCTTTCTATAATTTATCTCAATCTATACAACTCTCTTGAGAAAATAGTCTTTATCTCAATTTTACAGATGAGGAATCTGGGCCTTTGAAAGGTTGACTCACTTGCCCAAGGGCACACAGCTAGTAAGTAGTACAGCCAGAATTAATGTCTGTAATAAAATGGATTGTTTTAGTTGTACTGGTTAACTATTACAATGCAAAAATGATATTAACTAATTACGAAGATTGCCCTTTCCGTTAAAGTTAAGTTTGCATATATTAAAGGTGGTCAAGTATGAAGTATTAAAAGTTTGAATTGAAGGATTTTTGTTTTTCTATTGAGCTTTTTGGTTTTAAGTACTTATAGTAACTCACCTCATGCTAGTAACCTGATATGTAAGGCTGCCACATAAATTAGACACCTGTCTAATTACAAGTCTGTTTTATGTTATCAACCTTCCAGTTGTTTGCACATAAATGAGTGTTTTCCACATGCTTGAAAACTTGGTTTCCTTAAAGGGATCTAGTTCCCAGGATTTTTGTTTATACTTCAGCTTTGACCCTTTTGTTCCCAAAGTAGAATAAAAAGCAGCCGCATAGCACAGGGAGATCAGCTCGGTGCTTTGTGTCCACCTAGAGGGGTGGGGTAGGGAGGGTGGGAGGGAGACGCCAGAGGGAGGAGATATGGGGATATATGTATGTGTATAGCTGATTCACTTTGTTATACAGCAGAAACTAATACACCATTGTAAAGCAATTATACTCCAATAAAGATGTTAAAAAAATAATAATAAACAGGGGGTCTCGGGGTCTGAGTTCCGGGTGAGTGACCAGCAGGCCCACTAGGAGGCTCCCCATCTCTTCCATCCTGGGAAGGCCTGACACAGGAGGCTGTAGCCGAGCTCCCAATAGCTTGAAGACAAACAGGATCAAGAACATTCATATCCTGGGAGACCAAAGACTTGCCAGCCATGTCATTTGTAAAAGTTCAGCAGGATTTAATGACAGCTGAAGTCATGAAAGTTTTCTCTGCACTGTTAGGTACAGACAGAACTTTTAGGGATGCTAGGCTACAAATTGTGTTTCTTAAAAATTCTTATGAGAAGTGCAAAGGGGTGCTTTTGTTTATAGTAGAGACCTCAGGAAGGCCTTTGCGGAAAATATGAATATTGTCACATGAGTTTTTTGTCTACATCACAGATGTGTTACCATGCTTAAGTAACTGGAGTTCTGTTTTGTCTGATTTAGCCCTCCGCTTAAGGGTAAATATCAATGTTAATTGATCTATGTGAGGAATCTTTAAAATATGCTTTGGAATAATCCACTGACCTGGAATTTTTTTTCCCCTTTATTTTGCAGTGATCCCGACCAGCTGAAGAAAGAACTAAATGAACTAGTCAGTGCTATTGAAGAACATTTTTTCCAGCCACAAAAGTATAACCTGCAGCCAAAAGGAGAGTAAACTATCCCAGCCTTGGGCATAATTACATTTCCCTACAATTAAGCTGAACTTGATTTCTTAAGCAGTGTTTTTGTGGGCTAAATAATTTAAACTATTGCTACAAGTATTCATATTTTTTTAATAGACCTACACTCCTCCTTGTTTTATGTTTGAACTTTAAGGGTAATAAAGAAAGATGGTCAAATCTAACAAACCAACATTCCAATTAAAAGGTTGAGCATCATCTGAATTTAAAGAATGAAGATTTTGGGGCTTCCCTGGTGGCGCAGTGGTTGAGAGTCCGCCTGCCGATGCAGGGGACATGGGTTCGTGCCCTGGTCCGGGAGGATCCCACATGCCACAGAGCGGCTGGGCCCGTGAACCATGGCCGCTGAGCCTGCGCGTCTGGAGCCTGTGCTCCGCAATGGGAGAGGCCACAACAGCGAGAGGCCCGTGTACCGCAAAAAAAGTAAAACCATAAAAAATGAAGATTTTAAAAACTAACCTTCAAAAATATACTGTAATTAATATGCTTTCATTAGAATAAATACCAAATATGTTTCTTCTCTAAAATTCATTTTATGTGTAAGTAAAACAGCCAGAAAGCCTATACGTGTTACTAAATTCTGGGCTGTCCTATGTAAAAGATAGCCACTTCTACATATATGTATATTTACATTTCTGTCAATTGCTTATAAAGTAAAATAGATGAACAGATCAAATGTTGTGTTTAGGGAAAATACAATTCACAGGAACCTATAAAGTAGAGCAAAAGATACTTTAAAAAGATAGTTTTTTGATCTAAAACTTTAATTCTAATAATGCACCATTATACATTGTGTATGTGCTAGGAAAAAACAGCTTAACCATCTTGTTCACTGTGTTAACATTCACTTTATCTCTTTAAATCTTGAATGAAACAATTGGTTATTTGAAACTTGCAAAGTAGATTATTGTAGTTTTTTGCTTTAACACAATTCAGTGTAGTTTTGGTCCTAAAGCAGCAAGGACTCTAAACAGTGACTACCTGACCTTGATTTTTTTTGCCTTGTTCATAACGTGATCACAATCTGAAACTAGGCTTTTCCAGGTTCATTATTTAATCTGCGCCTCCTCCTAACTGATGGCCTTAAAACCTTCCAAAATGACTCGCATTGAGTACCCATGACTGAGGACCAAACTGTTCTTTATATACTTTATATATTTGTGTGATTTTTTATTTTTAAAGCAAATGATTGCCTATACTCTTATTAACTTAAATGGTTATTAACAGTTTCAGAACAATGAAAAATTACAGTACCATTGACAATCATGTTTCTAATGTAAAGGAAAGAATATTTGTATATCCTAGTGATACATAGTTTGTCCCCTACCAGATCTCTTAAATGTACAATATTCAATATATTCTATCAGCTGCTTCATTGTAAAAGCTATATTTATTTTTGTTTTCTAGCCTTAAAGTGTACTCTGGGAAAGAGAAACTTTAGATTTGTGTCCTCTCTACATTTTTGTGAGCACATAAATTGTACCCCATCACAGAGTTTGTTTCTGGAATGCGAATGTAATTAAGATCCAGTCCTGCTTGATGGAGCTCAGGGTCTAAATGGACGGCTGATAAGTAACTACAGTACTTAACACGTTCTATAATTGAATTATCTGCAAAGTACTCAGAGTTGAGGATTGTGAGAGAGGGATTCATTCTGCCCAGAGGAAGCTTCACCTTCCGGGGCAAGTAGCAGCTGGGGATGGAGGAGGAAGTCTTCCAGGCACAGAGCACAGCATTAGCAAAAGCCTGGAGGCACTGGGGGGTGTGTGTGCAGTCCTGGACGGAGGTGGGGAGATGGTGAAAACAGAACCCAGATGTAAACTTCAGGACCTGCCCCACTTCCCTCATGTGAGTGGGTGATTCAGTTGGACCTAGAGGAGATCCTCCAGTAAGTACTTCTTGACTTGTTCTTGTTATTGCGGGATGCAGGGTAGCAACGTGTGGTGCATAAAGCTTGTACCATGAGGACCCTGCATTCTAGTCTTGGTCCACGGGGAGCCAGCTCTGTGACCTTAGTCAGGTCACTTAGCCTGTCAAAGTCTCCATTTTATTATTTTTTAAGACTTTGGGTTTTTTTAGGGCAGTGCTAGGTTCACAGCAAAATTGAAGGAAGGTACAAAGATATCCCGTACCCACCCTGCCCCCACCCCATGCACAGCCTCCCCATTATCGACACCCCACCAGAGTGGTGCATTTGTTACTATTGATGGACCTATAGTTAATACATCATTATCATCCAAACTGTGGGAATAAGAAAAAGGTCAATGAATTGCCAGGGGTCAAGGGGGAAGGAGAGATGAATAGGCAGAGCACAGAGGAATTTTATGGCAGTAAAAAAAATTTTCTGTGTGATACTGTAATAGTGAATACATGTCATTATACATTTGTCCTAATCCATAGAATATACAACACCAAGAGTGAATACTAATGTAAACTGTGGACTTTGGGTGATAATTTTGTCATTTTTAAAATAGACTTTACTAAATGGTCTCTGAGGTCATATCATGCTGCAGGTCTTTAAATTATATAAAAATCCATTAAGGGCACCATCAGCAATCATAAATCATTGGCAGTTCTCTTTGGCAGAATGCTTAACTAGCCCTCTTACAAGACCTAACATCTGAGATGGGGGAAAAACGCTTTTTACCGAAGAGACAGGCAGCCGTGTGTTCCTATCCTGCCTTACCTTGCAGCCTGAAGGGAGGGGTGCTGAAATTGGGGACGAGGAAGACAGAACCACGTGATGTGCAGACGCCAGGAAATGTTCTGCAGGGGCGGAAGGCAGTGGTGGGGACAGAGCGCCATGTAGCAGCCCCCTCTGCCTTCTCATAGCTAAACTGCTTGGGGAAGACCGTCCAGTTTGAGTGTAGAGGTGGCAGCCCATTTTCTCTTGGTGCCTAGAAAGAACAAATTCCAAATTAAGTCTGAGAGACTGACTTGCAGGAGGAAATGCAAGACAACTGTTTTATTTATTTTTCCTCATGGTGTGTCTATGGAATAAACACCTTTATTCTTTCCTCTAAGAAACATTGGCAGTAGCTGTCATTAATTTAGCTCATCGGTTTAACTCAATCATCATGCTATTAAGGGACGGTATTGTTATTTCTTGACATTAGAAACATGGTTTTAAATTTTTTTAATTAATTTATTTTTGGCCGCGTTGGGTCTTCATTGCTGCACGCGGGCTTTCTCTTAGCTGTGGCGAGCGGGGGCTACTCTTGGTTGCGGGCTTCTCATTGCGGTGGCTTCTCTTGTGGAGCATGGGCTCTAGGCACGCGGGCTTCAGTAGTTGTGGCACGTGGGCTCAGTAGTTGTGGCATACGGGCGCATTTGCTCCTTGGCATGTGGGATCTTCTCGGACCAGGGATCAAACCCATGTCCCCTGCATTGGCAGGCGGATTCTTAACCACTGCACCACCAGGGAAGTCCCTGGAAACATGGTTTGAAAAATAAATGCTTTAAGTGACGGAAAACGTGAATATGCCCTCCTTTTAAGGGATTTTTGAAAGAATGGCATCTAAATCATATTTATAATTTCTGCTTCCTAAAAGACTACATCCTGAGACTTATTTGTGCATTCATTCATATGTCCACTGACTGAGTCACGCTTGAATTTTGCTATGAGTCAGGCACTTTTCTGGATACGGATAATAAACAGGATTTGTGATCTCAAACTTCGCCTAGCAGAGGAAATCACATGTACACATAAGATTGCTGCATTGCAATAGTAAAGCATTTGAAATATGGGCAAACCACTCTGTAATGTCCCCTTTTGGACTTGTCTTTTTCAAGAACACCAAGTTCAAACTCCTACCATTTTTGTTCAAAACAGTTTGACTCTGGGAGGCTGTTTGAATGCCATTTTCCTGCATCATCCCTCTGTCCTGTTCTTGCTACCAACATACTTTGTGTAGAGTAACCCAACTATTGAAAGCAAGATGTCACACTCTTGGGCAGACGGGAAGCAAAGTTAAAAATAACGCCACTTTGATAGACTTCTCCATGTAAGCACAGTGCGGTAACTTCGACTCACTGGAGGAGAAAGACAGCTGCCTGGAGAGATGAGGTCCTCGGACATAAGCGCAGGGTGAGCAGGGTGGAGAGCACTCTTGGGGAATCTGGTTTCTGTTGCCTTGGCTTCCTTGTGTAGGTCCCTGAATTTAAAATTTTCGGAACAGCTAGTGGCCACTTCCCGTTCGCGTCCAGTGAAAGCCACTTTGGTGTTTGGTGCAAACCTAGTCCAGAATGGAGCTGGGCACACAGACCAAAGAGCCAGCTCCAGGTCAAATAAGCATTTGAAACCATTTCAAAATAGCATTGTGCAACTTCCAAAGGGAAGTTAGGGTTGCAGTTTACAGAGATGATGAGGCCTAATTGTGTTCTTAAAATACATTGTTCTGAACTATTTCACCTTAACTATTTTTTTTACAAATCTCTAGGTGGCAACAGTGAAATGTAGCTCCATATCTGATAAAGGTTCTTAAATCAAAAGTAAATTTTATGCCCATCATCAGATGAATGGATAAAGAAGATGTGGCACATATATACAATGGAATATTACTCAGCCATAAAAAGAAACGAAATTGAGCTATTTGTAATGAGGTGGATGGACCTAGAGTCTGTCATACAGAGTGAAGTAAGTCAGAAAGAAAAAGACAAATACCGTATGCTAACACATATATATGGAATTTAAGAAAAAAAAAATGTCATGAAGAACCTAGGGGTAAGACAGGAATAAAGACACAGACCTACTGGAGAACGGACTTGAGGATATGGGGAGGGGGAAGGGTGAGCTGTGACAGGGCGAGAGAGAGTCATGGACGTATACACACTAACAAACATAAGGTAGATAGCTAGTGGGAAGCAGCCGCATGGCACAGGGATATCGGCTCGGTGCTTTGTGACCACCTAGAGGGGTGGGATAGGGAGGGTGGGAGGGTGGGAGACGCAATAGGGAAGAGATATGGGAACATATGTATATGTATAACTGATTCACTTTGTTATAAAGCAGAAACTAACACACCATTGTAAAGCAATTATACCCCAATAAAGATGTTAAAAATAAATAAATTTTAGGTGGAGGCTTGAGCTAATTATCTCCTTTGCTGGTTCAGCAGGCTTCCTTATATTTTCCTTC